TACAGGCGGGGTATGGCAAGACTCTCACTGATCTATCGCTATTTCCACAAAAAGAGCTCGGTCATACGACATTCCCTGGTCCCACAATTCAAAACTTTGCGGCAAGAACACGCCATGATACTTACATAGTAGCAAACCACCCACATTATCTCCGTTGAGTAAGTAAATTTCTCTGTAACGGCTTCTCGCAAGCCATTGTTCCGTTGAACGGACTTCCAACTGCGTGTTTCCTGGATCCCTACATTCTTAATCGATCCAAGTCTAGGATTGGGCCGTTATGTTCACCACATATCCGCAAGAATTGCCTCCTAACGTAGCCATCTATCTCGAGTGGTCTTCGGACCTTATAAAAGGTGAATCTTAATATAAAAAATGTAAATAAGAGAAAAAGAAATGTGTAAAGTTGGTTGGTTTGATTTGGTTTTGATTAGCTTTTACGGCATATAAACACCTCAATGGGTTATTTAATGTCGACAAGATTTTTATTGCTGTTAATATTTTTTTAAATGTATTGCTGATAATATTTTTTTTTCAAAAAAGTATTGCTGATAATATTTTTTTCGAAAATGTATTGCTGGTAAAAGTTTTTTTCTTCAAAAATTTATTGCAGGTAATAATTCGTTACAAAAATATATTGCTGGTATTTTTACACTTTCATGGCGTTTTGACCCCGGTTTGGGGGTTAACTATTTGTCTATTGCTGGAACTCCAACAGGTCTTACCTGCCCGGGTGAGGGTGGACCTGGGAACATCAGCAATTAAGAGGTGGTTGCAATTTCCTCAAAACATTCTGATCAGAGGCCTGGCTGTCAGATGTAGTTTATCGTCTTACCCAGGAGGCTTCATTTAGGCGAAGGGTTCTTACCCTCTCTGCAGAGGTGCAGTCAGCGTATTCTGACGCCCCAACCGCCAGGGCGAATATCAGGTTGTATGTGTGTAGTTTCACATTTTTCTTAAAAGAAATTGTAAAAAGTGAACTCATGCTACCTCAGCCGAAATTTGAACTTGGTTTGCTGATTTCGTGATTATTTCCGTTAATGCAGAAATTACCAACTATTTTTTTTTCTTTTATTTTATATTCATGATTTTTAATAACAAGCAGAATATCAAAAGCACTTTAGTTCGGACTGGATCGATGTTTTAGCCACTCTCCTCAAATAAAATGAATTCATATTCGTAACGTCAAAAACGAGTGACGTCATTTATGGCTTGCGTAATCGCTCGTCTGCAAGTGCATAAAACGTGCATTGGTGGAGTCAATCTATTGCAAATGTGCATTCGCATGTGCCAGCGTGCATGTGAACATTTGTGCAAAAACATGAACTAGAAAAGTGAGCATTTGTTCGATCGTTAAAAATCTCAGCTTATTTATAAGTATGGCGTAATACGATGTCAAATGCATAAGACATATTATCTATCGAATTTTTTCAAACCGATCACTACATCAATATCACTTCATACAAATCTATATGATCCATGTAACTATATTTATCGAATATTATTTTATTCTTATCTATCTATCTATCTATCTATCTATCTATCTATCTATCTATCGCAGACTGTTCATTATTTATCTTTTGTGTGTATGCATATATATAAAATAATTATATATATATATATATATAATTATATATATATATATATATATATATATATATGCTTCTATTTATGCGTTAATCAGTTATGAATGATTACGAAGAGGAATCAAAAAGTTGTAGCTTAACATCTACTTTGTACCGTGTCCCTTGAGGACGTTGATGATCATAGCTCTCCTTAAGTCCCAGTCCTTTGTAGCTCTTAGTAAATTACTTGAATTTATATCTGACTGTTTCACTATGTAAAAGATGCGCTGAGATAGATAGATAGATAGATAGATAGATAGATAGATAGATAGATAGATAGATAGATAGATCTACAGACATCGTTGAACAGACTGAAATAGATAGATAGATAGATAGATAGATAGATAGATAGATAGATAGATAGATAGATAGGTAAAACGTGTATTGGTGGAGTCAGTCTATTGCAAATGTGCATTCGCATGTGCCAGCGTGCATGTGAACATTTATGCAAAAACATGAACTAGAAAAGTGAGCATTTGTTCGATCGTTAAAAATCTCAGCTTATTTATAAGTATGGCGTAATACGATGTCAAATGCATAAGACATATAATATATCGGATTTTTTCAAACCGATCACTACATCAATATCACTTCATACAAATCTATATGATCCATGTAACTATATTTATCGAATATTATTTTATTCCTATCTATCTATCTATCTATCTATCTATCTATCTATCTATCTCAATTTCTTTCTTTCTTTAAATAGGTTTCTCTCACCATCACTTTCTTTGTTTATTTCCTTCTTTCTTTCTTTATTTCTTTCTTTCTCGGTCTTTATCTATCTATCTATCTAGATTGTTCATTATCTATGTGTGTGTGCACATATATATATATATAGTTACATATACATACATATATATACATATACATATAGTTATTTTCTAAGCGTAACTTAGATGTGGCACAAGGCCGAGAGTATGGGGCACCTAGTGAGGATCGAACTCACTTTCCAGTCGTAACACTGATCTAACGAGACAAGTTTGCTAACCATATATATATATATATATATATATATATATATATATATATATATATATATATATATATATATATATATTAAAAGGACGCCGGATCATCAGATAGCACTTCCAACAACGAAGTGAAACAAAAATATATAGATCGAGAGACAGATAATGAACAGACTTAGATCGATCGATCGATCGATCTATCTATCTATCTCAGTGCATATATTACAGAGTGAAACATTAAGATATTAAGATATTCAGATAATTTATTGAGCTACAAAGGACAGTGATTTAAAGTAGAACCATGATCGCTAACACCCTGAAGTAATACGGGACAAAAAACATGTCAAGCTACGGATTGTTTTATTCCTCTTCATAAACATGCATAGCTCCTAAACACATTTATACATGTATACACACACACACACACACACATGCACATATATACACACCACACCCTCATATATATATATATATATATATATATATATATATATATATATATATATAGTATTTCTTCATTCAAGCATGCTTATTTGAATAATGTAGACATATGTCTATTTATTTTAATTCTCTCAAATTTACGTATCAATTACTTAGTGCTGTTACAAATGTGTGTAATAAAGACGCCGTAGTTTTTATTCTATTTTTTATTTTTCTAAGCACTTTCCGTCTCATCTGAGATCATCTTCAAGGGTGAATTACTAAGTCAAAAACTAAGTTACCTCTCTTTCATATTTTTAACTGGGCGTATTTCATGCGCATTTCCCCCCACCCCCCCAAAATCCCAATTACATTAATTTTTGTTTTAGCAATTCACTCCTGAAGATGACTTTTGATGAGATTGAAAGTAATTACTATTAAAAAAAAAACAAATAATCAAAACTACGGCGTCTTTCTTACTCATGTTTGTAACAGCACTAAGAAAATCATCCGTGACTTTGAGAGGATTGAAAACAAAATAGATATCTCAACCAAAACCAAAAATGCTGGAATATATATATATATATATATATATATATATATATATATATATATATATATATATATATATATATATATATATATATTAGTGGAAAATACACATACATATGCAAAATATATATAAAAAAAACCCATACATGTATATTTTCAGAAAAAAAATTTTTTTTTCAAGAGGAAGAATCCAGGTAGAACTCAATGTCTAGGACAGAGGATATAATAAAAGAACACTAATATTCCATGGTCATAATTTATTCCATTGAAATCGTAAATATGATCCAAATCATCAGACCTACAAATTCAAATTGTAGGTCTGATGATTTGATCATTTACGATTCCAATGGAATAAATTATGACCATGGAATATTAGTGTTTAAGATTTTATTATATATATATATATATATATATATATATATATATATATATATATATATATATATGTATATATATATATATATATATATATATGTGTGTGTGTCTTTGTGTCAATATATTAAAGAAGACAGTCCGATAGTTGTCATGAACCGAATTCGATTTCTCTGAATTCCTACCTACTTTGGCGTGATACCATTCGAATTTTTTCTTTATCTCTCTCTGACTATCTTTGTGCAACGTTTCTTCGTAACCTGAGTTGATCATGTCTCTCCACACTCTCCTTATTTTGTTTCTTTCTACAATATTTACTCCTTTGTATTTCTGCCACTCGTTCATCCATTCATTTACTTAATCCTTTCTGGTTCTTCCTGCCTTCTGAGTGTTACGTTCTCCAATCCGTCTTTCCTCATTACTTCAGCTGTTTGATTATTATCATTTTGGCTATTATGTGTCTTTGTAGTTCTTACACCTGAAGATTTCTATGGAGCTGAAGTTACAAAATTGCTGCTGACGTTTGGCATTTGGTTAGATCTCCGTGTTTTGGATTTGAACCCAGGTAAGATAAATTCACCTAATATATGAATTTTACAAAGAGCATCTCTAACCGACAATTATTCCTGTTTGGTCTTGTGCAATTCTAAGCTAAGTTTAATCAAAATCAGCCATTAACAGATTAAAAAGAATAAATAATAATAATAATAATAATAATAATAATAATAATAATAATAATAATAACGCTAAAAACAATTAGGAAATTTATTTTCCGGAATTTCGTCTCTGTGAAAAGTGATGTTGAAATATTAGTCGTTGAGGGAATGAATTGTCGTCATTTCGCAGTCAATTCGTTTAAATAGAATAGAGATTGAATCTTAAAATAGAAAAAAAAAGTATTTACTCAGATAAATGATAGAAAATTATAATGAAAATGAAATTCAAAGTAAAAGGAAGTCAGTAAAGAAAGAACGAAAGAGTAATTAAAGAAGGAGTGTGGAAGCTAAAACGAAAGATTGGAAACTTTAAAGAGGTTTAAATGAAAAAAAAAAGACGAATGTTATACAAGAAAAATGATGTTTAGAAAATAAAGATGAAATAAACTGATAAATAAGAGAAAAAAAAAAGGAATCGAACAAAAACGTGAAATAAAGAAATAACGAATGGATGAGTGAAAAACGGAAGTGAGGAACTGAAGAAAAGAAGAATGAGGATGAATTAGAGAAAAAACGAACTGATGACAGAGTCTGAAGGAAAATACATGAGAAACGGAAAGAAATTCGAGAAGAAAAAAGATCTGTAAAAACAAACATGAATGCGCAAACTCAAATAAAAAACAGAAACGAAAACTATTCGAATGACATAAAGAAATCAAGAAAATTAGAATGAAAAGATAAAATCTAATAAAAGTAGAAGGAAAGGAAGAAAGAAAGAAATGGTATATAAGGTCAACAGATAAAAAAATGAAAAAGAAAAAGAAAAGAAAAAACAAGGAAAAGAAAACGTAAAATAAGAAAGAGGAAAAAATAGAAAAAAAATGTAGAGCAAGAAAACAGAAAAAAGCAAAGATAATAGACTGGAAGAAAAAAGGAATGAAAAAACAGAAGGAAAGGAAGTACGAAAGAAATAGTATATAAGGTAACCGGATGAAAAAAAAAAAAGGAAAAAGAAAAGAAAAAAAAAAGGAAAAAATCATGTAAAATAAGAACAAATAGAAAAAAAATAAGAAGCTAATAAATTCAGTGCAAGAAAAGAGAAAAAAAAAAGCAAAGAAAATAGATTGGGAGAAAAAAGAAATGAAAAAAAAGAAGGAAAGAAAGAAAAAAAACAGGTTCAAGAGATTTCAAAAAAGAAAGAAAAACTAAAAAGACCTGAAACAAGAAAGATAGAAAATAAAAAAAAGCAACGAAAAACAAAGAAAGACAAAAAGGAAACGAAGAAGAAAGCCAAATATCGAAAGAAAAAAGAAACATGATTAATAATAAAACTAAAATCAGAGACGGAATGAATTTTCCATGCAATGTAGTTAAATAGATAATGATCCGACACGTTATTAAGTTTTACATAATGCTATCGCTAAAATGAAATTTGCTTACATGCGCTTTTTCAGCTTTTTTTTTTCTTTCTTTTGTGATATTTCCGGATTTAATTAAATTAAAAATGTCTGAAAATAACCCACGTCTCAAATAAGAAAAAAAACAAAAAACAAAAAGTGAGAGAAAGAAAGAAAAAAAAAGTTATCCTACCATCTTACTAAACTAGGCCAGACAGACATTTGTAACTTTTCTGAGTTTTTCAGCCTGGAGCGGGGAAAAATATTTTCTAAAAGCCGGCAGATAGTATTCCGATTGGAAAAGGGCGGGAATTTTAATGCATTCACCTAAATATTGACCTGGAGGTCAAAGAATGGCGGTGAAATATCTATTTATATCGATCGACTTCTTTCTGCCGTGACGTCATGAATCGATGGTTTGTGATAGTCGAACGAAAATTGGTTCAGGTCGTAAGCTTCTGGAAGTAGACGGTATGAAAATGAAGAACGCACTCTACAAACCGTTACTTGAAGAAACGGGCGGAATCAGCATAAATGCCACTGCTTGTGGCAAATCGAAGATTTTATTCTATTGCTCTAGTGGGAGGCTAACATTTTGTCGAAACTATTCATTGCCTCGAGATCGCTTAACGTCAGATTTTACTCAATTAAGTAAATTTGATCCGACAACGAGGTTTAATTTATTGGTTGTCTGCAAAAGCTCCCAGCGAAAAGACGGTGGAACAGCCCACAGTATACACTTATCCGAGAGTATGACATTTTCCCTAATATATATATATATATATATATATATATATATATATATATATATATATATATATATATACACATTGACAGAATATATATATATATATATATATATGCACACACACTCATTGCTCTTTTATTTATTTATATATATATTTATATATATTTATATATATATGTGTATATGTATATATATATATATATATATATATATATATATATATATATATGAATATATTTATAATTTATATATTTACAACCAAAGCAGAATATATATATGAGAATGACATTTTCCACAATATATATATATATATATATATATATATATATATATATATATATATGTATATATATATATATATATATATATATATATATATATATATATATATATATATATATATATATATATATATGTATTCTGTTTTGTTTGTAAATATATAAATTGTAAATGCATTCATCTATTCAAAGTGCAATATGTATATATATGTGTGTATATCTATATATATGTGTGTGTGTGTCTGTGTATATATATATGTATATATATGCACATTGCATTATCTCTCTCTACATATACATATATATATATATATATATATATATATATATATATATATATATATATATATATATATATATATATAATAGTTGGTTGCTCGTATTCGAGGATACCCGTTTACTAGTGCGGCTAGTCACTTCCTATTGCAGACGCTTGCTCAGGCACATTTGTGTTTATTCAACACACCCAAAACTTACCTGTGGTTTATACTGCAACTATGCTGAACCGACCTTGTTAGAGTTTCTGGGAAAGAGTTAGTTATCTAGCGTGATCAGCAATTTGACCAAGGCCAGGACGCTCAAGCCTCGGCCACGATGACTTGTGGTTTAGTGCTAGCACAACTACAGACAGGCCCCAATTTCACTCACAAATATATATATATATACCCACTACAGAAGAATGTGATACCTTGTAACTTTAACACGTAGGTTTGGCCAGGGTCAAAAGCTTCCTAATTCTCGGAACTAGTTTCCGGAGTTATCAGAATAGCTATACCTCCACTTTGGTCAATAGAGAGGTACTGCACCAAGGTCGGAATCTCCAGTCTCAAGAACTTGAACACGGCTGAAGTTCCTATACTCCGCCGGTATTTACCCATCTCCCTACAGTAGATGGATGCGACACAAGGTCAGTTCAATATGCGGATCTCGTATGCATGCCATATGGGCCAAGTGTAAAATTGCCACGTTCCCACGACCGCTGTTTCGCTAGTGATGTTATCCACCTTAATACCCTCTCACGTTACTAAAATGGAGGAGGTGCTGGGCAAGTTTGGAATCTTTGTTGTAATGCTTCCCTCATAGCTTTTCTGATAGCTTCAAGAAGAAGAGAACGTATACTACACTCTGACCCAGATGTCCAGAGGAACGGCATGACGTTGATACTAATAGTAAATATGTGTATAAAATGGTTTAAACCATGTCTTTTGAAGTAGGAGAGCCTCAATCTTATCTCGATGTTATTGGGGAATATGCGGAACTATACCTGGGTATATATTGGGGGCTGGATTCTTAATTTGGGTAGCTACATCAGTTTAATCTTATTATTCATTTCTTTAGTTTTCAATAAAGACCACAGAGATCATTTTCACTTTATCTGTATTGACCTGGGGACAGCCACTGCAAACTAAATTTTGGCTTAAGTGGGATATAGCCTCAGAAAAATACTCTAATTTGGAAATTCTCTTCCGTATAAGACGAACAAACATCAGGGCTTCATTCGACAGAAGCCCCCATTTGGTGGGACGGAAGAAGTACTTTCTTGCATAAGTGTTTCTATAAACAGGCGAATCATAGATATTCACAGCTAAGTTTCTCTAAAGAATCCGAGCTATGGAAAATATATTCTATCTTAGGCATCTTTGCCATTGCACATCGTAGACGCCTATCAGAATATCAAGGAACTCACCGGACTCAAGATTACCATCATACCATGGTCAGAAAGCGGAAAATGAAGTAGTTCGAGCACTTCACCGGATGATGCAGACTTCTAAAGAGAATCCTAAAGTTTACGGATTCAGTGCATAGATCTACCTATGCTACGAATAATTCCTTCCTTCTGCCATTCGTAAGAAAGAATTTAACATTGAAGAGCTTCTTCCAAAGAACAACTCTATTTATGGAACAAACTCCCGAGAAGATGCTTATCCGATTACTAAAATACTAAACCTCTTCAGTCTAGGGTCAACCGTTATCTATTTTTAACAACCTCATTCAACCCTCTACCCTAGTTGAACAAGAGTAAAAGAAAGGAAAACAGCGAAAGGAAGATGCGTCATGGTAATGTCAGTCAGCCGAAGGATACAGGCATAATTGATTCTGAAAATAACAAGGGACAGTGAAAAATGGGTGAGTAATTTTGTCGAATGTTATTTTGTGGGGTCCAGGGATGGATATGCCGAAGCAAATGATATTAAAATATAAATGAATTAAAAATAAAATAAAAAAAATATATGGTTTATAAAGAAAAGTCTACAAAGTTAGAACTGAATACAAGGTCATATTTTATTTCAGAGAGTTCATTTCCTTAGTTTTACAGGCATGAATTTCCAAATTTATACACAGTTCTAGAGCCGAGTTCGAATTCCACTCCAATCCAATACATTGGGAAAGGTATGAAACTTCTTCTTCTCCCCTCCAACCATGGGTAAATAGCAGGACAGACCAAGTTCTATAGCCTTGGATGGCAACTGGTGTACCGGAGAAAGAAATGTTAACCTAGTGCGGGGAAAAAATCTGTCTCGTCAGTCATGTATCGAAAGATACATGATCGCCTGACCGTGTATCACGCATGGCACAGAACTGAATGAATAAAAAAAAAAACTACAACAACGCTATTATTATTGGTTTTGGTTTTTCATATTTTTCTCTTCAACACTGGGTTTATGTTTTTTTTTTCTCCAATAAAGATAAAAAAGCGGAACGTGGAATTATTCATTCGTTTCAGCAGCATATGTGTTCCACTGTCGCTAGTCGATGGCGCAAAACTTAAAGATCTTCTTTCAAGAGTCTTTGTATCGTTTTTTTTTTCGTTGAATCACAAGTAGAAAAAGTTTTCTATCTTTGACCCGTGACCTATCCAGCGTCGAAATGGCTTATGGTGCATCGCCTTCACGGTTAGGAATTTTGCGATTTCGACGAAGACAATAATAATGAAGTCGCTTCATAGTACACTGAATAGGATCCTGTTGCGGTGTTAATGACAGTGTTCAAACAAGCGTAGATAACTGCAACCGCTACTCAAGGACAGAGAAAAGTTTGATGAACTGAACCATAAACAATTAATCATTCTGAATTAAAGATTTTGTTAACAGGAAATGATTTCGGGATGATTTGAACTCGTGACAGTCAAATTTCGGTAAGCAGACATTGTAAAATCACTGCGGTTTCATAAAGTTTAAATATAAAGTAATTCTCTGAAAATTAAACTGCGTTTCACCTTAAAAGTTACTTCATGTCGATTCATAAAATAAAAACGAAATAATCATTTGCTGTATGATGGCAACTTCTATATGCGCAATTAAAATTAAATAATGTTCGTTCTGCGCAGATGTAAACAGACGGCAGCCATTTCTATATAAAACGTCATGAATTTCAAAGTCAAATTTAAATGCCACATTGCGAGCTTCAAGCTTTAAAATATATCGTTAGACTGATTTAACAGAAAAAAGATGTTTCAGGATTTTAGTGTTTATATAGATTGCCAAAAAATGATCGATATTTTCCAGAGAAATTAAGTAGTGCAACAAAAATACCTCCCACATATGCCTTTCAGAAATGTCGCCATCATAATTGAAAGGAATTAGTGACAGTGGTGTTTTCATCGGGCTAATGGCTTA